GGTCTTGACGGATTTAAAACGAACCACTCGAACCACACCGTGGTCAACTAATTACTGCCGACGTTCCCTGCACTAGCAGTCCCCGCTGTGCAGGTCACGTGAAGTAAAGAAGAGGTAGAAAGAAGATGAAGAGGAAGGAGTCATTTAAGTGAAGAAGGAGTGAGGAGCATGACAGAATATGAACTCAAAGTTGGAAGATGGATATGATCAGGAAAAGGGAAAGGTTTCGTGTTGCCACCAAAAAGCGTCTAACTGGCGCTCGAAACCCTTAACCGTAGGTTCACTGACTACACACTCTGGAAGCGAGTCCCAGCGCTCGCTAACTCTACGCGATAACCGAGTTTTCGCCTTGATCCGGTCGGAAGACGGCTTGTGTGGCTTCATGGGATGACCGCGAAGACAAAGCAACCTATCCGAGCTAAATAGTCAGCTTAAGTCCGGTCCAACATTCCCTGTTAAATGCAGTAAGTAAGGATTAGGTCTCCTCGAAGGCATCAGTAATGTATCGAATGCATACCAAAATTAAGTAGACGCTCGGGGTGCCTTTGCCCGCGTAACCTATCCACGAACATGGTATCTACTCTCAAGACCCTCTCTAGCTCTATTTTGTCCCAATCAAGGCAGGGCCAGCATGCCTGGACGCCAGTATTCCAGATGAGGCCAAACGGAAGCTGAGAACAGTTTCACAGATATGTCGGCAGTTAAGACCCCGAAAGAACGGCGTACTAACCACAACATTCTGAAACCCCTACTTGCGGCCTTCCAGTTGTCACCAGAATGTAAAGACGAGGAAGACGATGCCTGGTTGGTGACAAGAGAGAGTTCGACCCCACCGAGCACGTACCTCAAAGGTGAGATTTCTCTTATAGGAAGAACGGTACACTTAGCCTGGTTAATGGACATTAGCCACAAAATAACCTAGTCCCAGAGTCTGTCCAGTGCATACTGTATTGCTTCAGAACCCCCAGGGACATATATAACATCAAAAATTTAGGTCGTCAGCAAACAATAGCAATGATACCCTAAGCTCCCCAAAGTGATCGTTTACGCAGATGGAGAACAGCATCGGTCCAAGGACCGAGCCATGTGGGACACCGCTAAGGCCCGCTTGGGTAAAGGATAAGCTGCTACCCACACTTACACATTGTTCTCGTTCCTGCAAGAATGCAGATACCCAGTGAAGGGCACGGCCAGATACACCGTAGGAGCTCAGCTATTGTGGTAGCCTCAAGTGGGGTACCTTTGTCAAATGTTTTCGAGCAATCAACTAAAACCATGTCCACTACGTGGCCATCGTTCACTGCCTCAGTCCAAGCTTCTTGAACAACCAACAAATTCGTCAGACATGAAAACCCCTTCCGGAATCCGTGTTATGCACTACTGAGTAGATTAACTTTATCCAGGTGACCTTTCAACTAATCTCGCACCAGCTTCTCAAGCAGTTTGACCACGACGCTAGTCAGATTGACTGGTCTATAATTGGCTGACAAACTCCTGCCGCCATTTTTAAAGATAGGACAGACGACAGCCTCCTTCCATTCGGAAGGTAATGTGCAGCTGCCAAGTGACTTCTGAAACACCATCGTCAGCAGTCCACTTAGTTCCGCCGCCAACCCATGTATAAGCTTCGGAGGGATGTTTCGAAACGCTGTTGAATTCTCACTCACTAAATATGCCGGGATCTTGCTGATTCCATTGCAAATGTGACGGCATTCTGCGATGATCAGCATCTCTGCAATGACCGGGAAGCGCTGAGCTGACGAAGAATCTTCCTTCTGCTCTTTGTTATCAATTGAACCGAGTTTCCCTAATGCTGTCAGGACGCGGCTTGCCAAGCTAGCACGAGTCTCGCGACAGTCCCGCTGACAGTGCCTGAGAGTCCCGTGACAGTCCTTTAACAGTTCTCAGTCCCGAAAATGCCGCAATGGAACATGTATGGGACTGTCAGGTGACTGTCGGACATAATTTCCGCGACGCTTCTGTGTCTTATTTTTGGTGTTCCCGATGAATAGCGTTATATGTGTTGTGGTTGCCGTTGAATGTACCGCTAACCTAATACTTCCGCGCAGCTGACCGTCGCCAGACAATCTGTTGTGCCGCCCCCAAACAGTTCAACCGCAAGGAAATGAGAACGCCAAGAAAACACTCGGACCGAGGGATTCGGATTCTGATACTATTGCATGAGAGCATGGCGCAACAAATAGGTTGTAGGAAACCACTAACATAACAAAATTGGAGATGCTAATTACTATTAACACAAATCAAACGGTTCAAGTTCATGATCTGACTTGCCGTTGGTTCCACATGGATTTGTATTTTGATCTTTACTCGCGTTCGATCTCTAATGGTAGACCAATCTATTGTTACGCCACTGCTCTCGGCCTGAACGCTGACTCATTAACAACCTCACGCAAAATGACGCGCGACTTCCGTTATGGATCCAGGTGCATTCTGATGACGTGTTTCTACACCCGATCTGTACATTCTCGTGGCTGCAAGTTCGTTCCTTTTTGTAGCCGCTGGTCAAAGCACATTAGGTCCGTCCTGGGTCCCAGAGCGAGTGCAGTGCTTCACCGGATGGAGAACTGTTCTGTCTAAACCATAAATCTTCTTGTCACCCATTGGTGTTGCAAGACCTTTCTGAAAAGCTGCTGCATACCTCAGGTGCCAAATGGCCACTACTTTTCGGGCTGTTGGTTTGTGTATCTAGACAGTTGCACAGAGTTGCAGACCCTTGCATCTCCGTTCGCAGGTAATTTTTCTGTCTAGCGACAAAGGGCCTTTTGGTGCGCTTTGATCCCTGTAGGATGCGGCAATAATCACAGTGGGGGACTTTTGCGTTGGCACGTTTTGATTCACATTGTGGCCACGATTAGCTGTGGCGGATCTGGTGTTCACATCTGGCATTTGGATTTGCAACCTTTTTGGCGTCTAATCTCGAGTTCACTTGCTTGTAACATCCACCTGAAACGTGATCTGATGTGAGTTCTGGTTGCAGTTCACAATCTGCCTGAATGTTTAACTTATGTGTCAGCATCTCTGTCAATTGCCGCCGTGATTCCTCATCACTGACTGCTGGATCTGAAGGAGCGTCTGCATTTGCTCCGAAGAGATGGCTGTATACTGGAGTGACAGTGTTCGAGTGAAAGTCTCGATCATACGCAATTGTGAAGCCTCGAACTGCTGCTGCTGCTGCTGTTGAAGAAAAATAGTTTTCAGATTTTCTGCTGAGTTTGTCATCTCGATTAAGTTTACCTTCCGTCGCCAGAAATAGGTTGAAGACCCCATCTCCGTCGTCAGAAATATGTTGTGGTTGCCGCTGAATGTACCGCTAACCTAATGCTTCCGCGCAGCTGACCGTCGCCAGACAATCTGTTGTGCCGCCCCCAAACAGTTCAACCGCAATGAAATGAGAACGCCAAGAAAACACTCGGACCGAGGGATTCGGATTCTGATACTATTGCATGAGAGCATGGCGCAACAAATAGGTTGTAGGAAACCACTAACATAACAAAATTGGAGATGCTAATTACTATTAACACAAATCAAACGGTTCAAGTTCATGATCTGACTTGCCGTTGGTTCCACATGGATTTGTATTTTGATCTTTACTCGCATTCGATCTCTAATGGCAGATCGATGCATTGTTGCGCTACTGCTCTCGGCCTGAACGCTGACTCAGTAACAATATGCGCTACATCTTAGGACTTTTTAAACCTGACAGACACCCGATATTATTCCCGCTGACACAAATTTCAGTCGTTGGGTAAAAAATTCAGCAGCACTCTCCCATTTGTTCCACCAGATTTCGACGCACCTTACCCTCTGTTTCGTCGCAATAAACTGTAATCCACATTGGTCCGCGACGTCTTTCCTCCAAGAAGCCAGTGTTCACAATTGTGGGTGTGATAAAAAGTTACGAGGTTACAATGTTCATGTAATGAGTCCGGTTACGTTTGAGCTCCGATGTGTCTTTGATGCTCTGTATCCAGTGTGGGAGTCAACTAACAACTACTCTTGCGGTACATTCAGCGAAACTGCATCGGCAATAAACTGTTTACAGTGAGCCTGATGCTTACTTATCTGTGCGGTAATGGCTGCTTGTGAAAGGCTTGAGTACGCCGTCTCACCATTACCGCCTAATCTTCACACGATAGCCAGCTGTTTGTGAAAGTATGATGTTGACGAGGTGTATGCTCCTTGACCCTCAGTGTTCTCTTAGACTACTTAGATTTCATGGTAGGTCTACATTTCTCCATCACATTATTCTTCATTCCTTAGGTCATTGTACGGCAGCGTAGCATCACTTCAAGTGGCTGATCGTTGATTTCAATTGGATAGTCCCATCAACCTTCTCAAGTTACAACAGTTCTGATACTCATTCACCCCTTCAAATTACATGGCGCTGCGGAAATAATATTAAACGGACCATGTACTCTGCACCACAGTAGGATGGGGCTACATCCGTTATTTTAAAGCGTTACAGTTGGTTGACGTAGGGTTTTGACTTGGTTGCAGCGCTTGATTGACGCATGCAAACTAATGCAATACTTGACTAGTTTTGGGAGAGCATCATCCTCCGAAATATAAAGGAGAGAGAAACCAACCGTATCTTGTTGTCGGAGGTTCTCGACTCAGGCCTAGATAAGAGGCGTAGGGACATGTCGTTCTGGGTATTTTCGGATACGGTCCCCATAATCCGAATGTACTGGGTTTGCTTCCAGTTAAATCATAACAGATTGCGTATCGCAGTTCAGGCACACAGCCGGTGCTCCGAAACAATGATACGCCGCTCTGTTAATGTGGTTAAGAATAAGTACAAACTGTACCTTAGTACACAGTAGTTTGCGCCAGCATCATTTTCCTCACTTCACTGTTTTACTGCTCTTATGCAACTCTTTAACAATATAGTTAGACTAACATCTTCGTCTTTTTAAAGGATTTAATACGAGTTCGCCCTTATCCTCCAATATCAATATATTTTACCCTTATTCGTCAACATGATGGACGATGAAGATAGCGTGGTCTCCATTGAGGATGTTATCAAATCTATCGATGAAGAAAAAGCCATCGTTATGGGCGGCATCAAAAATCACGACTCTTGCAGTTTCATTAGTGTAAGTATCTACGCACCTTAAACTGTCTAACGGTTATCCTCCCCAGGGCTACATGAAACGCCAAGCTCTGTACACATGTAAAACCTGTTTGGATATATCTACACCAAGGCTGGTTTCTGTTATCCTTGCTTGGTCAATTGCCACGAAGGTCA